TACTAATATAGATATTATATATTTATATAACATAAATTATATAATTAATATAATATTATATTTTTATATATTAGTATTAGGGATGTCAAACTGGCTCGTCGTTCGGGAACAGCTCGTGTTCGGCTCGTTCGTTAAGAAACGAACACGAACAGTGACTTCATGAACAATTTCGAACACGAGCTTATTTCAAACAAACTAAATTTCAAACTTAGTGTTCGGTTCGTTTACACCCCTATTGGCAATTCATCTCTTTCAATATGTGGTTAAAAGTGTTATAAATTTTAAAAATCAAAGGTTAGATATTAGATATGTAAATACATTGAAATTTTGTGGTATGTATATAATTCTTCATTTGTTATTAAGTGTTATTTGGTTGAATGAATTAGAGGTGTTATTTGAAATTTTTTAGGTGTTTTCAGTATATTTAAAAATAGGATGATTTATTTTTTTAAAATAAAAAATAAAAAATTTTGCAACTAAACATATTTTTCAACTAATAAAAACAAAAATAAAAATAGCAAATAAAATTGATGTCAAATAAGCGCTTAGTATTTGAATTGAAGAAAAATGACATACAAAATAAAATCATAGTATATTTCTAACAAAACTTTCAGTTAAATTCTATCATATTTCAAATTAATTGGATTTGCCTTGTTTAGAATACACTACAAGTTGTAGTTGTTACCACACCCATCAACACCTTTAGTCGCCCTTATCGATGCCCCATTGACCTTCACTGTCGTTCGCTACCTCAATAGAGGCCTTTGTCCCCACTACCCTACGGCTTGCCGGCCAGCCTTACACCCTGGCATTGCCCTTACAACTGCCCATCTGTTTTGCATCGTTACCACTACCATGGTCGGCTAATGCTACCGGCAACCTCTTATCGTCAATGATGTTACCATCACCACTGACTAGTATACTGGAACCGTGGTCACTAGGGCTGTAAACGAGTCGAGCTTGAGTGAGCTCAGCAACCGTGGTCACTAGGGCTGTAAACGAGCCGAGCTTGAGCGAGCTCAGGCTTGGCTCGTGTTCGGCTCATTCGAAACTCATTCAAAATAGCTCGTGTTTGAAATTGGCTCGTGAACAGTGTGTTCGTGTTCGGCTCGATTTAAATGTTTGTGTTCTTGTTCTGCTCGAAATTGGATCGTTAAAATTAAATTGAATAAAATAGATGTAAATCATGGGATTCAAACCTAGACCAAATATATACAAAATAAGGGACTAACCACTTTACCACTTGAGATGTTATGATTTTAACTTAGATATAAATATATATAATATATTATTATATAAATAATTATATAATATCTTTTTTTTTATTTCGAGCTAAAACGAGCCGAACACAAGCGAACAAAGAACTGTTCGTGTTCGGCTCGTTTATAATTCAAGCTTTAAAAACTTGTTCGTGTTCGACTCGTTCATGAATGAGCCGAACACGAGTTGTTCGCAAACAACAAGCTTTTTTGACAGCCCTAGTGGTCACTCGTCTTTCGTCATTGCCACCACCTATTTTACATTAATTTTCTTTTAATTCAAAGAAAATAATGAAATATTTCTAAATATTTCTATTACACTGTATTCCTTTTTTGAGAGATCTTGGTGACATCAGGAAATGTATACCAAAATTTTTAGAGAGCTATCTACATGCTACATATCACACTACAAAATTTTAGACTAATTATGGCCCTAAAAATTCATCAAAAACATTGACATGGCGGCTTGTTCTTCAAAAATTAGTGGCTTTCTAATGAGTTAAGGGCAATCCTTTTCTTATGGTCCGAAAGTCTAATTCTAACGACTTAATTTATCAACAACATTTTGACAGGAAACATTTCCGTTCGAAATATTTCCGACGGTAGCTACTCGTCAGTTTATGACTAGCGTAGCACCGACGTGTAGTTGTCAGCTTTTTGAATATTAATAGACCATCGAAATGGTCATCGGTTGGCTATTAAAAACCTGTATATGAAAGAAAAAACAATTAACCTCTTTTATTTTATTAGAATTTCGTCGCCTACAATCACAACACAAAAACATAAGAAATATACATCACACAATTTAATTCACCTATCCGTACAACTATTTAAATAAAACCATATGAATGTAATTACAAATTGAAAAAAAAAACAATTATAATGTAATAAACAACACAAAAAAAAATAATTTATACTAACCAAAATATATACTCCAATATGCAAAAATAATAAATTAAATAAGAACAACCCAAATTTGAGGTTGATGGGGGTCTTTCTAAGCGTCTTTCTAAGCTCTTGGCCTTGCTTATTTCATAAAATGATCCCCTATAAAGAGGGGATATAGTACAATAAGGTAATATTACAAGTTTAATCTTGCTTTAATGAGAGTTGTATATGGTATTTTCGGTATTTATAAGTATGATCATATCGCTCGACTGCTCTCTAACTCAGTCGGCGTTGCCGATCGGCTAAACTTGACTGTCTTCAGAACGACAAAATTGGATGTCGACCCACGATAATGGGAGAGCTCATGTATATCCCCGGTATGACTTAAGATGTCGAGGGAACAAGTCTTCCCTCAAGTCTGCTTCTTTGTAGTAGTAGTCATAGATGTCTGACCAAGTGGTTTGGTCTCGGGTCATTCGGTCGTCTTTTGTGACTCAATTGACTTTGATCTTATTGTCTCTGACTCTAGCCTTAATGTCATCGACTGCATGCTAAGTTGGCTTTGGCCTCATTGTCATTAGTCTAGACAATTGCACACGGCGGCAAAACAAACAAGCCTCCTGTTATTTTTTCATCAGGCCCTCCTTCATCGTAATCTTTTCCTCAGAATCGTTAAATCTCGTCAGGACGAGCGAATGATCATCCTAAATGGCACGTTGCAGTCCTTTTCATTCTAATCGTCCAATTAAGCCCAGCGAGCACACAGATCAAACAATAATAACAATTAATAAACACATACGAGCTCAAATTTCATTACAATAACCACAAATATTGAAGACAACATGACACGTGGCACATAATTAGTGGCTAAAAATTATTTCTCCCAAATTGAAATATCCAATTTAGAACTTCTCCATTCTAAATGAAATCTCCCGTTCGGAACCGTCACTCGAACAACTCTTCGATCAATTTAGGTACCGTGGAGTTCACCGCCGTCGTACCGCCGTCGACGACGAGGTTATGCCCGCTTATAAAACCCGAGTCGTCGGAAGCCAAGAATAACACCGCCGCCGCCACGTCCTCCGCCTTCAACACCTTACCTTTCAGATTCGCCG